AAATGGGTAATCGCGCCTCTATACCGAAAATTCATCGAGCCACGCCTCCCCAAGACACGCAAACGCCACGTCGTAAACGTCATCATCATGATCTTCGTACTCTGCGCTTTTCTCAGCATCACAGGCTTCGGCGGTACCTCCGTCCTCTACGGATCTTTCATGGCCGGCGCGTTCCTCACCTACTTACCCTCCAAGCACCCAACCGGTCCCTTCCACCCGCCTTCACGCGAAGACGCAGAGGAAGCGGAGGCACGATCTATTGCCGAAGCCACCGAGTACGACGATGCAGGCGAGCCATCTATATGTCCTACGTTCATGCACACGTTTGAGAAGTACTTCCTCGACGCTGTCAAGTACCTCTTACAGCCTCTCTTCTTCGCATCGATTGGGTTCGCCATTCCCTTCATCGATCTTTGGACTGCGGAGGCGTTCTGGAAGGGCTTTGTCTACACACTACTCATGCTTGTATCCAAAGTCGTCGTTGGCCTCGTCATACCTTTCGCTACCATCTTCCGCAGACCACCTGGCATGTCTATCCGCGAGTGCTTCACCACTACATTCTGGCCTGCCATGCTCCTCGGCTCAGCGATGGTAGCGCGTGGCGAGATCGGTCTGCTCGTCGTACAGATCGGGCTCAACAACACACCGTACCTATCTAAGGAAGCTTTCATCACCGCCGTATGGGCTATCGTGCTCAACACCATCTTCGGGCCTGTGACCGTAGGCCTTATCATCAAGTACAAGGCGCGTGCCATTGCAGATGGTGTGTGGGGTCTCGAGAAGACAGAGCCGAATGGCAATGGTTGGGACGATGGAGTCTCGAGGGCACCTACCATCGTCCCGGAGACGATGAGTGTGAAGGAGAGGAGTAAGAGTGTTGCGGTGTCGCAGCATAGTAGGATGGTGTCGGATCCGGTGACGGTGCCTATCTCGCCTTGATGGCTGTGGTTGTACTTTCTTAGCTTCAATAATGAATTTATGATGTCTTAATTGTAGATACTGTCCTGCTCTGAGTGATACAAGGTGAGCTGTGGTCAGAGAGGATCTCCAAAGTTGCATAATCACATCTGTCTCTAGGTCTAAAACAGGTGCTACAGCGACGTTTCTTCGACAGAGATTAGATGTGAACCGCTCCGATGAGCGCGAAAAGCGAGAATTGTATCTGACTGAGAGGGGTATGCGCAGCTAAGTATTCAGAAATCGCAAATACGAACAACATGATAACATAGATCAACAAGAACGAGCGGTATTCGCAAATCCAACAGTCATGCCCAGCCCAAGATTTCGCCAAGCACCCATAAATAGATACACACTCATATACCACGTGCAAACATCCTTCACCCATATGGCAGGTTTAGCTAGACCAAAACCACCCACTCCTCTTCTTCCGCTCTTGGTTCTCTGGCTCGGCTGGTCTTGGCTGGATGTCGTGGAATGCCCTCCAAGGATCGCGCTGCTGGGTTTCGGTCTCTTGGCCGCGCTGGGTATGCACAGTCTCCGAGCTCTCTTCTCGTCCATCAGCGAAACGTTTCTTGAGCACGACTTTGGTCGTAATGGAGCCGTCAGAAGCGACGGTCCGCTCTGTCGTCGTGAGTGTAGAGAGAATCGAAGGCTTGTCCTCCTTCATCCGCTCAGCAACCGCAGAAGTTGCCGAGATAGGTCCGGGGACTGAGGGTGAAGGCTGCGACACAGCCTCCATACGTTCGTACGCATCCAACTCGGTCTCTGAGTCTTCATCTCTCTCGTGTGCAGCGTCTAGAACAGTGTTGTATGTGTCACGTCTGACTGTGTCGGCGTAGGGGAACCGGTCTTGTTTCGGCGTAGGCGGATCGTCATGTTGGTCTTCGTGATCGTGGCTGTACTCGTAGCTCGGCTCGTCCTGTGCCCCAAGGCGAGGGCAGCTGGGCGCATCGTTGCGGTCCATGTGCTCCTCCAGTTGGCGTTGTGTGATCGGAATCTTGCCGTGAGTCCAGTGATTGTCGGACGTGTCCGACTCCATGGCGCCAGGACATTCGGGCTCGAGCTTCCCCTGCATCGTCTCCTCTAATTGTTGCTGCGTAATTGGTATCTTCCTTGGTCCCCAAGCCGGTCGGTCGGACCTCATCATACAATGTGAGACTTCGCCTTGCTCTGCTAGTAGGTCCTCGTAGGCTGCCTGCCAAGGTACACCGGCCTTGTTCATTTCGCGGTTCTGCTCGAGTGCGCGGGGAGAGTATGCGGGGTCGTCGGTCTGCGAGGCGTCTGCTGGTGGTGGCCACTGCCATGATTTGGACCATGACCAGACGCGAGGCTTGCCATCTTCGGGGCTAGACTCGTAGTTGTTGAATCTGGCAACTTCCGCCTCACGGTCATCCCAGGCCTTGTCGTTGAACTCCTCGGCCAGACGCTTTGCCTCTGCCTGCATCCGTAGCAATCTCTCCAACTGCATCCAGTCCCTTGATCTTTCTTCATCCGAGTTGGCTGATGGACTCCGGCCGTCGTGATCAAACGGCCGAGGAAAGCCCCAATCCCATGACCATCCCCACTCCTGACCCTTCTCGTTGGCTACCCTTTCAACCAGGCTAGCATCGTCGCGTCGCGCGACTTGCTGCTCATCGCCTCTCCTCACATTGCCAAGTATTTCCATTCGTATGTCGTCAGCCTTGCGGTCGAGCCTCATCAGCTTCTCGCTGTTGCGCAAGACAGCTTGCACATCGCCGGCTCTGAACAGCTCTCTGCCTTCGTGGCGCAGCTCGGCGATGTCGGCTTCAATGTCGTGGAGCTTGTCGCATTGTCTTGGATCGGCCTTGCCAAAAAGGCACTGCTCACGTGCTTGGTGCGCGTTGTTGTAGTTGGCGATGGTGGCGGGAAGCGTGAATACCGTATTGAGGAGGGACGAGACCTGGGAATCGGCGAAGCGGCGGAAGGCGATGAAAGGATTATCTTCGGGTCGGTTGGAATCGCGTCGGGGATTATTGTCGTCGTTCGTCATAGTGATAGATAGTAATGTGGATGTTGTGATGGTACTTGGCTGATGGTGGGGAAGATGGGGTCCAGAGTGCTGATGATGCCTGGAGATAGCTGTGGCTGCCTCGGCGATAAGGCCACAAGGCACGCGCCACCCGTTTCGACGCGTCAAGCCATCGCCCCTGGCAGCCAACCGTGCTTCCGTCCCTCTACCTCTCCAAAACGGAACATCGTGAGGATGTTCATCGCCGCCCAATGAGTGTCTCGCATCCCCAGGACTCTCTCGGCCTCTCTTTTGCTAGTCTTACTACCACCAAGCATGCACCGCCATATGACCCAGACATGCTGAGCCCGCAATTACCATGCCCAAGAGCTGCCGCGCTTCTCTAGAGCTCAGGAGTCAGTATGAAGATTCAATATTTCCAAACAACTTTCATCTATCTATAATGGCCCAAGATCTGCCTACATGACTCCACCTACGTATTGAAAGAATCTGTGAGTGTTGCATCGCAATCAAGGCATGATCTTGGCTTTCTTGGAAATCTACGCGGGTTTGGGATCCTCTCGGCAATCTGCAGTAGTCTCACTTCAACACCATCGACAACGCTATCCGCAAAACCAAGAGCATCGCCATCTTTTGCTTGAGACATACGCGTAAGGCCATTACGAAAAAAAGCCGCAGTGGATATTTTCAACCCAGCATTATTCAGCACCGCCTACGATCTGCGCCTTATCGTCTTACCGCCCGCTGGCAGCCAAGGAGCCAAGTGCGCGGCATGCGAAGACAATCGACTTCAAGACCTTGATCGTCCCGGATTAGAGCCGCACTGTCCAAAATCTGGACCTGCCCAGTTCAAGCAGCCATACACAACGCTGCTTTTCACTGCCCCGTGATAGGTCTCCACGCTTTAGCGACGCACTGCGCGTCATCCCGAGCGGATTTGGACGGGCAATCCCCGCCTGTAACTCCTTTCACTCCTGGGCCATTCCTACTACGGCCTTATCACTAGCGATCGAATACCCACGTTTCCTGTTTCTGATCTTCGAGGAATGTGTTTTGACAGCTGTGCCAGCGGACTGGGTACGTCACACAGGATCTGCGACAACTCAGCAAAGAGGTATAAGTAGCGGAGTAAACACCGCGTCTTGAGAACACAACATTGTTTCATCTCGCGGCTTTACCAATATATCCCCAGACGCTTCCCCTCATCTATACCGATACAACATATAACACTTGCCCAATCGCTACACAACGAGAACTGAAAGTCCAAGACCTGCTGTTCTCTCTTCTATAAAGGCCCACCCGAATCATCCTCGATATTTGCAACACCACCACCACCACCACCACCACTTTATCACTTTCTCATCTCCAACATGCGTTTCTCCGTCATCGTCGCCACCCTCCTCGCTAGCGTTGCCGTCGCTATGCCCGATCCTCTCCCACAAGGCTACTCAGGCCCCTGCTCAAAGGACAACTGCGGTGCTAGCGGCAAGGTGTGTTCGGGCGGCGCAATCTGTGTGGGGTGGCCAAGCACCGATCCCGCCCTAAGGAAGGGATGCACCTGCAGCCGGGGTTAAGCATTTGCTGCTAAATTTCTTTGCATTGGCAGGCGTGTGTAAGTATAACGAGCTCGAAGACGACGCATAAGCTAATGCTCAGCAGATGGCATATCATAGCGAGGTTGACAAGAAGCATGTTGGTTGTAATCTAGAGGGTGTATTATTTATGAATGATGAAGACAGAATTTCGACCAAAAATGCTTACTATCATCTGAGTGCCATATAAACCTGGACATTGTCAAGTCCTGGGAAACTGCCGCCGCGATCGAGCTCGAGATTCGATAACTGATCTCTTCACTATGTGATGTTGCCTTGGAGTGAGTTCTTCGCGCCTTCCTGGCTTGGCACGCCGCGGCCTCACTTACAACTGGCTACAGCATGTGCACTTCAGACAAACCACCAATTCCATAGCAGCGTCTCCCACCGATCTAGAAACCTACGACCATAGCGCATACCCCACAACCTGAAATCGACAACCAACATCATCAATCAGGATGTGGAGCACCCAGCTTCCGTTCCGCCCTCCACGTCCCAGGCCATTCTTCGACTTACCGTGGGACGTTCGAGAACAGATCTACAGTTACATCGAGCTTGACGCGCTCCCGCCGTTGTCAAACGGTACCGAATATGCTGGCTTTGTTCTCTCGTGCAAGCTCGCCGCCGAGGAGCTCTCCTACGTCGCAAGCGTAAATTATGGCAAATACCTCGACTACTTCGAGCGACTTTCGAGAAAAATGCTAGGTTACGAGATCAAAGTCGCTCAACCGGAGCAGGCATCAGCTATCAAAAATCCCCCTTTTGCGCACCTCACTCGACTCAAGGTCGAAATACGACTGAAAAGTTGCGCCGCCTTGAGCGACGATGAACTGGAAACAGCACCATGGTGTGACACGTTCCACCCACTTTTCGGACTTTTTCTAGAGAGTCTACAAATCCACTTTGCTGCGCCAACCCTTCCGAATTTGAGAATATACAGGTCCGACGTCGGCAACATGTATGACATAGTCAGCCGTGTATTCGATCTCATCGAGATTATGAATTCACAAGTACGAGACCCAGAACGCCCTACCTTCTTCAGTGGTCGACCAGATCGACACGAACGAAAAGTCACCCGATTCCTCAAGGCCTTTGAGAGGCAAGTCAGTGGCTTCACACGAACGAAGCGCGTGAGCACAAAGGCCATCTGCCTTTCTTGGGATTGTCGAAAAGTTTCTCGGATTGGATCCCCGGCCAAGATGATGGGGCCTGTGTGGTCGCATAACTTGCGCCTTCGTGACTTTCCGGGAGAGGACAAGCAGACATACTTCCGTGTACACGATGTAAAGGGCTACGCAGGAGAGATGTGGATTGCGAGTTCTAGACGTTGGGCTCCCACATCAGTCAGTCTTCCTTGGCTTCTTTATAACAGAACCTGCAAGATTGTTTTACTGCAGATGAAGGACCTGGACTTCGGCGAAGCAGCACAGATCTTGAGCAAAGTGGAAATATGAGGGAGAGAAAAGGCGTAGGATGAGATGAACGCCGTCCATGCTCTTTCGGCCTCCGATCGGTAATATACCATTTCCTGATGGAGAGAGTGGGTCTCCATCTAGAACACTCCACATGTAGTACGAAATGAAGACTTACGTCTTACAAGACTATCAACACGATTTACCCCGACTGTGTAAACAAACATGTCCTCAACAAGAGGAAGGCAAACATTGCTCTCCATGAGCTTCATACAATTGGCGGATGTATTCCACTCACCGTGATCGATAACAGCAACCGCATGTGACGAAAAGCATCACCCATCCCAGGCCAGCGCACCACAACGCCCAAGTACGGTGCCTTCCCCGGATAGAAGGCCACCCAATCTACTCTTTCCCCGGAAACGCACCCCATATTCCACTCCACAGCGGCTGAAATGCCCCCTAATGAAGCGTGATCGCTACGGGCCCCACGCCCATCAAAAAGTATTCTCCACGAATAACGGCATGCAGAAGCAATACAAGACATTTTGGCACCGGCAATACGCCCGGCGAACGCATCGACACCTCAAAGATTGCGGTCACGTTCACGTAGCTCTCGCGCAGGGATCGGTTGTTGTGGCACATTGCATTTAACCGCGATTAGAGGCGCCAAGCCTGCTTAACTCGAACACGCAAAGGGTACACGTGTGGTGCTAAGGAAAGACAAGAACCGGCGCCGGAAGCTTCATTTAGATTAATGCGAAACAACGACGTTTCGTTGTCTATACTGCATGGGGGAAGCGCGCCGGGTGCGCATTGGGTACAGGCTGATCGACGACGTGCAGGCACCTGTGGCGTGTTAGATGAATTGTCCGTCTTTCCCGCTACATGTGGGTAATTGTCCTAGGGCTAACGCATACATGTTTCCTCGTACTGGTGGCGGCATGCGCAAGGAGGGACCGAGGTGGGCTTGGTCGGATGGATATTGTTCGTAATGAGCAGGAGGGTGCGGAGATCGCTAATCTTGCGAGCAATATCTGTATAGGGCCGAGGGTGTTGGTCGTTTGGTATAAGTAGTCTGCGGCTCTCGACTTGGTTGAGGGTATCCAGCAACCTACGTTCTTTACAGTCCAAGCCCAGTCACCCAGTCTCGATATACCGTTCTCAACATGAAGATTTCTCTCATCACCATCTTGTCCGCCGCCGCGCTGGTCCAGGCTGCGCCTTTCGCTGAGCCAGAGGCTCTTCTCGATGAGCGCCAGGCTGCGCAGAGCATCGATGCTGCCATGAAGGCAAAGGGCCGGAAGTACTTCGGTACCTGCGCTGACCCAGGTCGTCTCAACCAAGGCAAGAACGCCGCGATCATCAAGGCGAACTTCGGTGCCATTACACCTGAGAACTCGTAAGTGTTTCCAACCTCCCGAACGCAGTGTTGTGTGCGATGCTAACTGCCGGATAGCATGAAGTGGGATGCCACCGAGCCTTCCCGTGGAAACTTCAACTTCGGCAACGCCGACCAGACTGCCAAGTTCGCAAAGGACAACGGCAAGCTCATCCGTGGACACACCACTGTGTGGTACTCCCAGCTGCCGTCCTGGGTCTCCCAGATCAATGACAAGGCCACCTTGACCACTGTCATGAAGAACCACATTACCACCCTGATGAACCGCTACAAGGGCCAGGTCTACGCTTGGGATGTCGTCAACGAGATCGTAAGTTGATCTTCATATCCCGGTCCGACTGGAACATGCACTGACTTCCCCAACAGTTCGAGGAGAACGGTAGCCTCCGCGCCAGTGTCTTCTACAACGTCCTCGGTGAGGACTTCGTCCGAATTGCTTTCGAGACAGCCAAGGCCGTTGACCCTGCTGCGAAGCGTTACATCAACGACTACAAGTAAGCAAATCCTCTCACACTCCATCAGTATCATGACACTAACAACCGCCTAGCCTGGACCAAGCGTCCTACTCCAAGACCCAGGGTATGGTCCGCAACGTCAAGAAGTGGATCGCCGCCGGTGTCCCCATCGACGGTATCGGTTCGCAGGGTCACATCACCTCCGGCCAGGGTGCCAACGCTCCCGCCGCCATGGCCGCGCTCTGCGCTGCCGCCCCCGAGTGTGCGCTCACCGAGGTTGACATCCAGAACGCCCAGACATCCGACTGGCAGAACGTTGTCAAGGCTTGCTTGGACCAGAAGAACTGCGTTGGTATCACCGTCTGGGGTATCCGCGACAACGACTCCTGGAGGCCCAACGGCAACCCCCTTCTCTTCGACTCCAACTACAACGCCAAGACAGCTTACAACACTGTCCTTGCTGCTATCAACAAGTAAGCGCGTCACACACCGTGCACATCGCACAATTTCTGTATATATTTTCTGGTGGATTGGGGAAGACTTTGTACATACATGGAGGAACAATAGAGACGTATCTTGGCTTGATGCCCTGGGTTTCAATCAATCTTGTTCTCTCGACCTGTCACGATGCTCTCCTTCTGTGCACTCTTCAATGTCTTGATGATACTGACGCCGGCATCCGCGCTGGCTCCTACCTCAGCTTGCTTGGTCCAGAATATGTCGGCTGCATTGATGCGAACGCTCTTGCGCCGCTCGCGTTCCGTCACATCAAGATGTGACTTCTTCTCTGCAGTTGCCTCTAGCTCGTCCAGATGCTTCTTTCTCCTCGCATATCGCTCTGCTCGCTCTTTCCGAGTCTGCTCCGAACCGATTCTGAAGAGGGCGAATCGTACAGCAGCTCTGAAGCCCATGAAGATGTGTTCGGAGATGAGGATCGTCACTGGTAAGCTGGCCCACGTGCTCAAGCCAAGATATTCGCCGAGAAATCGCTGGGAACCGAACATGTGTACGATGGCCGCACTGGATATACTCCCCAACCATGTCAAAGACTCTAGACTGGCCACCCATGGTCCGATACCATCGCTACGTGTTGGGTGAGGACGCTGATGCTCAACACAGATCTTCAGGAAGTCCGACCGCAGTTCGATCCAGTTGTTGATGAAGAAGCCGATCGGCACTAGTGGCCACACGGGACTGAAGAGCGCAAGATAGCCAAATTGAATGACCATTTCTGCAATATCTTCTTGGACGTTGTATGATGGTCTCAAAGCTTGGCGCCTCGTGCGCCGTAGGAAACGAGATTCCGCGGGATCTTCTGCAGTCGGACTTTCGTACGAGTCACTACTGCGGTTTCGTGTTCGGCTAGCTTGTCGATCACGCCACCATTGCTTGATCTGTGTCTTCAGCCAAGGTAGTGCGAGCTCTTCGACTGCGCTCGAGACCTGTCCCGTTACGGTGAGCGCGATGACTTCGTTGCGCAGGCGGTCAGGGTCAGCCTTGAACACCATCTTGGCTCTAGTCTGCGCGCCTAGTGTGGCATCGATAACGCGTTCCAGTAACGGTATAATCTGTCCACCGAAGGGTACGTATACGAATGCTGTAAGAAGGATTGGTAGGTAGTTGGTGATTGAGTTGAGCACAAAGATCTTTTGAGTGAGCGACATCTCGTAATGATCAGCTGTTCGATGATTCTCGTATTCTGTCAGCGCAGTAGCAATGTCTTCCAGAAAATTCGTCGCGTATGGCAAGAAAACAGCAAGAAGGACCGTAGGTAGGTATTCCTAGTCGAACCTTAGTACAGCTCAATGGGTGAGACCGGGCATATACTGACCAGATAGAGCTTGTAGGGTCCCTCATAGGCTTCTCCAATGAAGGTCTCGATGGTAAAAACGAATGCGATTAGAATCCCGAGTAACAGAGTGCTGACAAGGACGAATGGTATGACGACCAACTGACGCACAATCCTCTTCCATCTTGGGAACACATGCCGGACTCTTCCAGCTGAGTCAATAACCTCTTGTTCGTAGCGAAATTGTGGGCGGTTGACTTTGAGGTCGCCGACTCCTCGTACGTTCCATCGGATGGCGAGATCGGTCTGTCGGATCTTCCAATACTCCAAGAACACGGTGCACCAGACTCCGATTAGGAGTGCGAACACCAGAGAGTATTTCGGCAAGAACGCCCAGGCAAATACACCAGCAGCGCAAGGAAATGCCAAGGATCGAAAGTAAGTCTGGATGAAGGCAAAGTAGAAAGCAACTTTGGCACCCCATAGATCGCGTATACGATCCAGGTCGGCTGGTTCCAAGAACACCCGAGTGCTCAGATGGGCCAATAACGCGCGGTTCGCACCTGCGTTGTGTAACGGGAAGATTGCGGTCACATTTTCCCATGGTGGAAACTCTGGTGTAATACCTGCGCCTCCAAGCTCTTTGCGCCAATTGACAAGGTGATACATGGAAAGCAGATCTTCGGCTTCGAATTCTGCGGTGACAACGGTCTTAGCGGTCCCGCCAGGGTGGCCTTTGGTGATGCCATAAAGCCAGTCTTTGACTCTGCCAAAGCCTACTTAGCCTCCTTCCAAATGACGAGGTTACGGACGAGCTTAACATACCGTGACTTGTAGACTGCGTTGCCAAGCAGATCTCTGGGCGCTTGGACAAACACTAACAGTGTTTGATCATAGCCAGGGCGTACCTCAGTATTGAGGCCAGCAGACTCTAGGTCATGCAATAACGTCTTGCATTCTGCGATGGCAACGTCGTCATCTAGTCCTTGTCAGCCGTCCGCTTTAACACCATGCCTCAATGATAAAACGTACCGACATCACCGAAGTCATACACGACAACGTACTTGTCGTTATATGTGACGTTAGCAAGCTCAGCATCATCGCTCAACGTTGTATCCGACCTCTTCAAAGGTCTGATTGACATGGCCAAAAGGGTTTAAACCGAGCGGAGAGCCAGGGTAGCTGTCAAGACTGTGAGAAGTAGGGGTCCACAACTGTGGCTGAAGGTTTTATAGGGTTGAGCCACTGAGGCGTCGTCATCGTGCTGGCCATGGCTCCTGTGGAGTCAGGCAAGCCTCAGCTGTGTCGCGGATTGGTGTTCGGTGGTGGGACCAACGCGTCTGAGTGCCAAACTTAGCACTTGGTTGCCGACTGATCCGAACCGCGGGGGAGAATG